AGCATGAGTGATGCACGGTTTCTAACCTCCACCCTTCAGATCTGGCAGGGTGGGCAGGGCTTTCCCCAGTACCCGCCCCTTCACCAGCCCATCACCCTGATCTCTGGCTGCAGCCCCAGCACTGTCTTGCTTCCTTCCCTTCCGGTTCCAGACACCACCTTCTTTCTGACCAATCCAGAGACATCTCCAGAGGGCCTGGTGTGGCTTCCCACAGCTGCTCTGGCCTCACACCCAGGTTGGGGCAATTCGATGGACAGAGGTGGGTGCCCTCAAGACCCACTGCATCTACTGTAGTACTGACCCACATGCAGGCCTGGGCGGTCACCCAGAAAGGCTCCTCAGATGCCAGCAAGCTCACTGTGGCACTGTGCAGGCCAGACCTCACTAGGAGGGCCCAGCTCACAGCCACTATATCCTCCAGCTGTGCACCCAGAGTTCACATTCAGAGACCTTCACCCTGACTGGGGGTATACTGTTACCTTCTTAAGCCCACCAGGAAAATCACACACTGCTCCCCACAGTCTACCAGCCACCCCACCAGTTGGATGCTTATAGAAATGGGAAGCCGTCAGGCACGGTGGCTCACACCTGTAATCACAGCACTTTGGGAGGCCAAGGCGGGTTGATCACCTGAGGTCAGGAGTTCAAAAGCAGCCTGGCCAATATGGCAAAACCCCATCTCTACTAAAAATACAAAAATTAGCCAGGTGTGGTGGCGCATACCTGTAATCCCAGCTATTCTGGAGAATGAGGCAGGAGAATCGCTTGAACTCAGAAGGCAGAGGTTGCAGTGAGCCGAGATGGCACCACTGCACTCTAGCCTGGGTGACAGAGCGAGATTCTGTCATAAATAAATAAATAAATAAATAAATATAAGAAATGGGACGCTTTTTCCCTCACAGACTTTAGCACGCCGGCTTTGGGAGCCCTGCTGTCTACACATGAACTGAGACAGCTGACATCACCAAATAAAGCTTAGTGGGCCCATTCACCAACCCCAGGTCTCTTTACATGTGCCGAGGTCTGCTTTATAATCTTGGGGCAGTATTTTTTTAATGTGTTTAATAGGAAGGCTTAAACATGTGCTCTTTGCTGAACTCCCACCTGGCTCTCATGAAGCAGAAGGATGGAGTAAGTCACCGGCTGCTTGTGGAACACTCAGTGCTCACCTTTGCCCACACTGCCGGGTAACTGTGGGCATGCAGAAGACAGACTGACTGGGAAGAATTGAGCATGGAACAATTCTCCAGTGACAGTGTTCTTAGTGCTGAAGCAGCCAATGCCTGGCCCGTTCAGAGCAGTGCTCGTGAGGCCCGGCCACATCTGAAGAGGAACACACTCTGCCCCTGGGTTGAAGAGGCAATGCAAGAGTTTCTGATCCATGAGCAGTCAGCCCTGATGGCAGGCACAGTGCTTGATCCCTCCGGCTTAGTGGGTGAGGGGAGGCGTGTCTCTGGTTTTGCATCCTGGCTCACATGAGCTATAGGTCCTGGGTGTCACCCCCATTGTGTTTCCTCACTCAGATTCTCAAGTATGCAGAGAGCATGGGTGTTTGTGGGGTGGTTAATTGCAGTGACACTCATTCTGCTAGGAGCAGGACTCAGCTGGTCTTAGAGTGTCTGGCTCAAAGTTAGTGCTCAGTAAGTGTTTGTTGAATGAATAAACAATGAGACAGAATTTAGACAGGCGAATGTGGCTGTTAGTTAGTGGCTAGGAATCTCAGGTTAGGGGTAGAAAAAAGAGGTGGGGGTCCATATGTACTTGGAAAGTCACATGGTTGGGAGAATAACACTATCAACCTCCTAAGAGTTTCCAGGTACAAATGAGCTCCTGTCGATAAAGTGCTTGGCTGGGAGCTGGCACATGGGAGGCTGATTGTGAGGTATGAGGACTGGCATTTCAGGCGGCATGGTGGTGGTGTGGCATGGCACAGAGGCCTCGGACCCGTGGAAGGCTTTGTTGGATAGGTGGGTGGGCCTGGCTGCAGCAGATAGACGGGAGGAAGTAGGACTTCTGCAGCCCAATGTTTGAAAACCACCTAGATCCCTTCCCCTCTCCAAGCTCTGTAATCTCCACAGCCATCCAAATTGGAGCAGAGTTGGCAGGGATGGGGTAGAATGGGAAAAAGAGGCACACACCCCTCCAACCCCTAGAGGGAGGGGGGGAGCCAAGCTGGCCTTTGGTTGTAATAGCTACTTAAACTGGTAAACATCCTCATTTTAAATCAAGAGACACCTCCCTGGTCTAGATGCTAGAAAGCAGTTTCATAGAGTGCTCAACCTATTCAGCTCAGGCCTGCCCAGCCCGGGAAGACCTGGGCACTATGCACAATGGGTGGACAGGAAAGAGCGGACCCAGACTCAGCTGGAAGACCACGGAGCCTGACTCCCTCAACGGCCTGCTTCCTTCCCGTGCCCCAGCCTGCCTGAACCTCACCCCAGCCCACTCAGTTGTTCATTTGCAGCTGGACAAGGAATGCAGCAGGCAGCATAGACCACGATGCTGGAAGGCATCAGCTGGGACTGAGCTGGGAACCCCGGGACTTGGAGCTCGGGCCAGCTCTGCCACAGAACACGGAACCTGGAGGCCACTCTCTGGGCCTCAGTTACCTTCTCTAAGAAACCCAGTGGTTCAGTCTGGAAGAGCGCTGGCCTGGTTAACGCACAAACCTGAGGTGAAGAAAGGGATCTGATATTTACTGCACTCCTCAAACTCAGCACTTCACACACTTAGCCCCCGAGGCAGGCAGCCTTGTTTTATGGGGATATCCTGTTCGAAGCCCTTGGCAAGGTTTTACAGATGAAAAGAGGCCTGGAGAGCTGGGGGCTTCATGCCACAGAGTAAGGAACTGAGATTTGGACTCGTCCATCTGACTCCAAAGCCAGACTCTCTCCCCCGCACTCAGCCAGCAGCAGTCTCCCCACCCAGGGCTCAGGTGTGCGCCTTTGGACTTCACTCAGGAACTTTCACTTTTTAACCACTTGAAGCCCTATCCAGCACCCTGGTCTCTGATAAATCCAAGGAGGGAAGGGCTGTGGGCCAAGGACAGGAGATACAAATGGGAGAGGAACCTACCTGTTTGATATCTCGAGGCTAGAGAGGGCACATGTGTGGTCCAGCTTGACCTGAGCTAGTCCTGGGGACCTCAGCAAACCTGGGGCAGGCTGTTCAACCCCCAGGTGAGCAGGTGGCCCTGCCTGAGCTCCCTGTTGGCTCTGAGGCCAGGATCAGCCCATGCCACTTCCATGCCATCTGTCAGATTGCCTCGCTGAAGCCACCTGTTCCATTCAAGCCCCTTCAGGACCTTAGTGACACCGTCTACCCCATTCCGGCCATTTAACCATCAGACATTGATTAAGTGCCTCTGCCAGTCCCTGTGCAGGCCACCGGGGACAGAGATGGGAAGACACAGTCCGGGTCCTCCAGGTGCTCCTGGCTAATTCAGTCAGCTTTGGGTGGGACTTGGGCATCTTTTTTTTTTTTTTTTTTTTTTTGAGACAGAGTTTCGCTGGTGTTGCCCAGACTGGAGTGCAATGGCACGATCTCGGCTCACCGCAGCCTCCGCCTCCTGGGTTCAAGCAATTCTCCTGCTCAGCCTCCCGAGTAGCTGGGACTACAGGCATGCACCATCATGCCCAGCTAATTTTTGTATTTTTAGTAGAGACGAGGTTTCACCTTGTTGACCAGGATGGTCTCGATCTCTTGACCTCGTGATCCACCTGCCTCGGCCTCCCAAAGTGCTGGGATTACAGGCGTGAGCCACCGCGCCCGGCTGGGCATCTTTCTTTTTAACAAACCTTGCAGGTGACTGAGAGGACACACCCAGGTGGGACCTTTTGGTTTTGTGGACATTCTGGCTCCCAACACTGTGTTCTTGGGCTGCCAGAATCCTCTTGAGGACATAGCCTGTCTCACCCCACCGGTAAATTCCTCTTGGCTTCCAAGTCAGATAAATCTGAGTTCAAATCCTACTTCTGCAACTTGCTAGCTGTGTATCCTTGCAAAATATGTGGACACTCTGAAGCTGTTTCCCCATCTTTAACAAGAGATCATGGTGCCTTCCTGTTGTGAGGATTAACAGGGATATTGTGTGCAAAGCCCTTAGCAAGATGCCTGACACACATAAATGGGAATGTCTGCTGTTAATTAAATTATGGCTGCATTCTGATGGACAGAAATACCTCCCTGCGGATATTTCCAGAACCCCCACTTCTGAAGCCCATCTCTGAGGTGGCCCTGGATACCTGGGAGGCCTCTCTGTGCCCTCTGCCAGGGCTCCAGCAGGACCTTCCTGCTTCTCCCCACGGATTTGGCTTCCTGGCCCCCAAACGGCATATTAGCCGAGCACACCCTCCCTTTCATTTACCCAGAGTGACCAAAGTTCCAACCACACCTTTCCGGGCAGCCTGTCCCCAAATTTCGGGGAAGTGAGGAAGAGGGGGAACTTTGCCAGGCAAGAGCTACGCAGGCAGAGGCAGGGACTGGTCAAGCTGACCTCTTCCTCCGGACTAAGGTCGGGCGCCCCTGCCCAGCCCCTGTCCCTGCCCTGCCCGGCTGCGAAGGCACTGGGAAGTCTGGCGAGGAAGAGTCTGGAAGATCCCGCCCACAGCTGCCAGCTCTCCTTTGGGACCGCTGGCCAGAGTCCCAGCCGTGGGGCACACGGGACCTGTGGACTCAGCAGGTGCCGCCCGGAGGGGCGCCCACATCTGCACCTGGGCTCCGGAGCCTGCTCCCCACCACTGTCGCCGCCGGCCCTGCCCACCCTGTGTGGCGCAAGCGGCTTCCGCGCCTAGGGAAGGAAAGCACGCTGGGTGGGGGGGCCGGAACCGGTTTCTCTGCCGCCTGGAGCACGTGGCTCGGTCCACTAGACTGGGGTCACCTCCAGATGTGTGGCGGCACCCAGGCTCCGCGCCGCGAGGGCGCAGGGTGCAACCGGGCGGGCGTCTTGGGGACCGGGCGCAGCCCGCAGCCCTGCGGCGACCGGGGAAGGGGTCACTCACCTCTGCGGCCCGCAGCTCTGAGCAACCGCGGCAGCTGAAGGCCCGCGGCGAAGGCGGTGGCTCGGCCGTAGGCTCCTCCTCTCCCGTGCCCCACCCCGCCCGGGAGGGCTGGACCTGCAGACTAGGTGGCCGCCCGCCAGCCCGCCGCAGCTTATCCGGCTCGGCCACCTCCCCGCGGAACGCAATCGCGAGCCGCCGGGCCCTCGCTCCCAGTCCAGCCCTGCAGCCCTGGCAGCGGTGGCGGCGCCCAACCACCCTCCTCCCCTGGCCCCAGGCGTGAGGTCCCCAGCCAGCCCCGCCACTTCCTGATTTGCAGTGCCCAGCACACAGCTGAAGTGAGCAGAGCTCCGGGACAGCATCCTAACCCGGCAAGGGAGGGCGCCGAGGCTAGGGTGACCTCTAAGCCCCCTCTCTCAACCTGAGGAGCACCTCGAATCCTTGTCCATTTTATAACCGAGGTCAGCAGCCAAAGCTGCAGGTGGGAAGAGACCAGGGCGCCAGATTGTGTCCGGATCCCTTCCCTCTCAACAAGGTTGTGCCCAGGCCGTGGCGGTTCCGCCCATCTCTGTCGCTGGTTCACCCTTAGGACCGATTTTGACCCATCCCAGCAGTCCTCAGGTTCCAAGGCCGGTGGGATGGCAGGCACCTTTCTCCTGGAGCTGCTTCCTTGTCTAGGCCTTCTGGGATCTGAAACCCTACCGGTCCCTTCCTTCCCCCCAAGGCATCCCCCTGCCCAGGGGCACTGCCCGCTGCCCTCTTCACTTCCAATGCGGATGGTTTCACAGCACAGCAGTGAGGCAGGGCTTTGTAAGTAGGTGAGGCTGTCTGTCGGCACCTTTCTTTAGGTGTGCACCCTGGTCTGAAGCCCTTTGTCACCTACGGTCACAGTGGCTGCCCCCAGGTATTGATTCACTTTACAGGTGAGGAGACCGGGCTTTTCTGCTCAGATTCCTGGAGGCTGAGTGGGAGTTCCTGACCACTGGTACTCTTTCTAGAGTATTCCTGGGGAGGCATATTCTGTTAGCCTCTGATAAGGAGCTTCAGGTTATTTTTAGAAAGTCTAAGAATCCTGTTTTCTGGGGAGTCAGCCTCTATCCGGGAGATAAGCCTCCTGGAGGCCAGAGGCAGGGGCTGGGCCTCAGGGAAGGCCCCACCACTGGACCCCAGAGGGCTCGGTGGGGAGGAAGAGGCAGAGCTCTGTTCTCCCTGTGGCGTGGGTGCTGCGGTGAGGGCCTCTCCCACCACCCCCAACCCCGCCGAGACCCACCCGCAGGCGCTGCTTGCTTTCCCCTCCACAGCTTTCCTCCTGCCTGATACCCACTGCCTGGCTCTCCAGGGCCCAAGGCGAGAGCCTCTCCTTTCTCTTGCAAGAACTTTCCCTCCCACCTTGCCCCAGGCAACACCTCCTGTGGCAGTTCCCAAGGTCCTTTATCCGTTTAACGTGCACAGTGCCCTGGGTATCAGACAGTGTTTCCAGTGCTGGGGACACAGGTGCCCAGTGGAGGTTCCTGCCCTTAGGGTGCCAGGGCTGGCGAGTGGCCCCTGAAGTGGGTTGTAAACTTTGAGAAGACAAGACCCAGTTTCCAGCCCTCTCTGGTGCCCCTAGCATGCTCCCCTCCCCGCCCCCCCCACAGTAGCTGTTCTTTTGATGTCTTCTCCTGCTAATGGGGATCCCTGAATATCCTTCCTTTAATGCCCAGGGGCAGCACGAGGAAGCCAAGCTTGGGAAATGCAAACACTGAGAGGTCTTCCAAGCGTCTTTGGAACAATCCCTGGGAACCATTGTCTTTTTCTGGGGCTCTCCATGAGTGAGTGAGAGAGAGAGAGAAAGAGAGACAGAGAGAGAGAGAGAGACTTTTTTTATGGGGCTCTCTGAGAGACAGAGAGAGAGAGAGAGAGAGAGAGGGCCAGAGGTCTATAGGGGATTATCCTAAAAGGAACATGAATTCCTGCTGGAAAAATCTGAGGGGCCTGAAATTTCCCACAGAGAGGGAGGGAGGGAGGGGAATGCCCTACTTGGGCCCACACACCTTGGCAGTGAGAGCACCACCCACGCCGTCGGCCTTTCGTGCTTGTTCTGTCCACTGCCCCCTGGACTAAGAGGGCCTTGAGTGTGAGCTTGTCTCACCTGGCATGGGGTCAGTGTTTCCAGAAACTTGAGGGCCAAGTTCCCCAAAGCAGACGAGCCTTTTCCTACTCTGTGGGGGAGTGCAATGTGCTGAGCTTTGTTGAGCACCTTCAATGGGCCAGACTCTGGTGTCCTCTGCCAAGGGCAGGGCAGTCAGAGCCATCCTTTAAGATGTTTGCCAGATCACATTTCTCCTCTGCTCAAAACTCAGCCCCTCCCCCAGCAAAAGTAAAGTCCTCGAAATAGCCACGGCCCAGTGTGATTGGCCTGCTCTCCACCCTCATCTTCTGTTCCCCTCTCTCAGCTCACACTCAGTCCTGCCTCAGATAGATCTGGCAGGATGCTGACCCTTGCCGTTCCCCGTGCCTGGACCCTAGGCATCCCCAGGGACCCTCCCTGCCTCCTTCAAGTCTTTGCTGAAAGGTCGTCATCTCTGTTCCGCCCACCCTGATCACCTGCATTCCTCATCCATGTATCTGCTTTATTTCTTTTCTTTTCTTTTTTTCCCCATAGCCTGTTTTACCTTTGAAGACTATAAAATAGAGTTTTTAGGTCTGTTTTTCAGTAACTGTCTTCTCCCATAGAAATGCGAGCTTCTCTTGGGGCAGGGATTTTTATGTTTATTCGGTTCTGTATCTCTAATGGCTAGAGCACTGCCTGGCTCATGGTAGGTGCTCAGTAAATGCCTGTTGCATGAATGCACACCCGTTCTCAGCTTTCCTCGCCTCTTTTAGCATCTCTGAGAAGTGTCCCCACGGTTCCTGCTCATTCTTCTCTCCTTCTTTGTATGCCCCCCAGCTGGTGCGAAGTGAAGCTGATTCGGAAGGGTGCTCCACTCATGCACTTAAGGATGTCTGCACCTGGAGCTGCTGAATATTCAATTTACAAAGCCCCTGGAATTGCCCTTTTCCTTGAAGAGAAGACTAGCCATTTGGCTAAGAAGAGACCAGTATCCAGGAAGAAAAATCAGATTCATCTCTTACTTGATCAGAAAGGAGAGGAATGTTGTTCACCCTTTGCTTCTTGGATTGATCCAGTATTTATAGGCTGGGACAGAGCAGATCCATTTCACAAAATAAATTCTTCGCGAAAATGAGATGCATGCCCTGATGCGCTCTGACAACCCTAGCCAGGAGCCAGGCCACTTGGATCTGATCCTGCCCAGGCCGTGGCGGGCCGTGGCCCCAGGAAAGTGCTGCTCCCCACCGATGCTCTCCCTGACTAGACCAGGTGTTGCAAGGCTCCTCCAAGTTCTGGGGTCCTCTGCTAAGGGCAGAGTAGTCAGAGCCAACCTTTCAAGATGTTTACCAGATCGCGGTTCTCCTCTGCTCAAAACTCCCCGCCTGCCCCCAGCAAAAGCAAAGCCTCACGCAGGAAGCTCTTCCCTCTGTGAGGCTGCCTTCCGGGCAAATGGGGGCATTGTCTTTGTCATCCTGATGATCTGATAGGTGGAGGCACGTCAGCAGTGCTGAGAGCTGAGGCAGGGCAGGTGGTGGGAGAGAGCACAGAGTGGGGAGGCCAGCTGGCAAAGGGGTGCTGGGGCCTGGGACTGAAACTTACAGACTCCACTTTCCAGGGCCTATGACTGTGAGCCAATATTGCACAGCATTATAAAGCATGGCTTATGGGGCATTAGGACACCCACTTCCACATACACACACCAAATCTCCTTGCACCCCAGATTTTGGAATTCTACTGTAGCATAAGGTTGTCCTCCTTCCAGTCCTGTCTCGAAACGTGAGCCCTCCAGAGAGGAAGCGCGGTCGAGCTCTGCATCATGAGAATCTGTGTATCTGCAGGGAGATGTAACTGTGGCCAGCACAAGACTATGGAGAAAGTGTGAAAGGAAGTTGCTTTTTTTCCTTAATCCTTAACCAAAGAATTCCATCCTTAGGAAGTTGCTTTTTATTTGTTTATTTTGGCTCAAGGGAGCATTGATAAAGGCAGTTGTTGAAGGGAGAGTGGATAAAAGATGCTGGGGTGGAGGGGGCAGGACCAGCCATCTTTGTGAGGGAGCTCCCTGGCACGTAGTAGGTGCTTAAACTTTTGTGTATGATCAACGGTCTTGGCTTGTAACTAGACCAAGGTGGCAAACCAGAATGGAGGGAGGCTGACCCAGCACCTCCCAGAAGCATTTACCGAGTCAAGGAAGAGATTCTTCTTGCCCGTCTGTGATAGCATTGCATTGCCTTTCAGCTGGAGGAGATCAGAAAGGCACTCACTACTAGATCACGGGAGATGCCTGGGCTTCAGCCCCTTGCTGCCTGGAAGGTGGTGATCGCAATGGCCTGGGAGGGTTTTAGAATGGCAGAGTATCAGGCCCACCCCAAAGCTCCCAAATTAGAATGGCATTTTAACAAGACCCCCTAGGAGATTGTATACATGCTTCAGTTTGAGAAGCGCTGGTCTGCGTTACAAACGAGGAAACTTGCTAATCCCTGAACACCTGCATCGAGGTAGATTCACAGCAACCTAGAACTGGATGACACTCCCTCTCAGCAGGGCGCATGACAATATCATAGTCTTTGCTTTCTTAAAAGATCTTTATGAGATAAATAGTCTGATAATCTTCTGAATTTCTACAAATATGGAGTCAACGATCCTATCTTGTTCAATACTCAGTGCCTCTTACACAAAGCTCCAGGAAAGAAAATAAAAACAAACAGGACTAATATGTTTACTCTTTTCCCATAACTGATGCTATTTCCCCTTTTACTGTGGTAGGACACTCAGGCACATGTTCATGACTAAATCATTTTTATTAAGTATATTGAAATGCTACTTTCTTTCCCCTAGTCCATGATTTTCTGATTTACTATTAGCCTATTGCTAAGCTTTTTGTTGTAAGCTGTCCCAAGCAGCCTTTGGAAAAAGCCAACCATGTACGCGAAATGAATAGGAAACTTCTCTGCCCTCCAGTAAGAGAGCCCTCTTTCTCCTTGACTGCTGTCACCTTTCATGGTTGTGGCATGTCCTCTGCTGGATTTTTGAGCCAAGGACAGAGGGTTTG